TACAGTGATAAGCGTCAGATTCTCGTCATCGAGCAGGAAAAAGATACTGTCAGGCAGGGAAATCTTACTTCCTCCAACGACGTGGTCGAGAAAAAACGTTAGTAGCTTTGTTGGTAAGCAAGGTACGTTTTTGTCGTACGAAGCCTCGGCGGCAAATGTTTTGTGTGACGAATTCCGGGATGACGCACTCCGAGTATTTATCTCGGGACTCAAGCACAGCCTTTGGGATGTCCTTTTTTCGGAAAAGCCGAAAGGTATGCCATCAGCTCTATCTTTGGCGCAAGAAGTAGAATCTAAGCACGAAAAATACTCATTCACGTTTTCGTTTGCCAGAAGCCAGGGGGACAAGGATAAAAAACAATATCCAAATGCGCAAGAACACCAAAAGGGTCCTGCGTAAACAAATGCCCATACAAGCGCTGGCAAAAATTCGTACTACACAAAGCAACACAAGGCGCAAAGGGCGCGTCAAAAAAATGCATCCGTCGGCCCAGTAGATACGCCGTTTTCGGTACATTTTATGCATGGCGTTACCACGATCACGAAAAAATGCTTCATATCCCTATTGAACTTGACGGCCACGTTCTTCATCTTACCATATTTTGTCCTCCTTTGATGCCATTATCGACCTGCTGACTTTGCAGCTGTTATGGTAGCATATGGTGCTAATAATTAATATTTTGAGTATGAGGCATAATAGTTTGATTTTTTCTTAATACATTCCCATTAATTTTTTTTAAATCAGAGAACTTTCAAAAAATGATTAAATGCCACATAAAGTGGTCAAAACCCCATAGTCAGGACAGTGGTGGAGCCACATAGCCTGATTGATGAGGAGCCCATTTATGCCAGACCCTATCCATACCCTATGGAAGCGGCAAATTTCGTCAATCGCGAACTTTAAGACCTACTAAAATATAACGGCATAATCCAGAAGTCGAGATCCCGCTACAATAACCCAATATGGGTAGTAGACAAAAAGAGCACCGACGAATCTGGCAACCGTAAAATGCGGCTGATGTAAGACTTTCGAAAGTTAAACGAGATGACAGTACCGGATCGCTACCCTATGCCAATTATCTCTATGATACTAGGGAGTTTAGGCAAGGCCAAATACTTCACAACACTCGACTTGAAGTCTGGCTACCACCAAATTATATTGGCAAAGCGTGACCGTGAGAAAACCTCCTTTTCCGTTAACGGACAAAAATACGAGTTTCGCCGACTGCCATTCGGGTTGAGGAATGCTGTCAGCATCTTCCAAAGAACCATCGTCGACATACTGCGAGAGCAGATTGGCAAATTTTGCTATGTCTATGTCGATGATGTTATCGTTATCTCAGAAGACGCAAATGCCCATATACGGCACGTAGACGACGCCAGCATGAGAGTGTCGGTCTTCTCGGTCTTCTTAAAAAACAAAAGCGGTAACTTTTTTATATTTATAGTCATCAGCGAAGGAACTACGACAGACCCGGAAAAAGTCAGAGCCATCAAGAAATCCCCGGAACACAAAAACGTGTTTGAAGTAAGATCATTCATGAGATTGGCTGACTGTTATAGGTGCTTTATTAAAGATTTTGCATCAATTGCTAAGCCCATTTGAAACATTTTAAAAGGGGAACGTGGAAATGTCAGCAAATACAGATTCAGAAAAATCCAGGAACAGTTTACCGAACCGCAACGGCTAGCTTTCGAAAAGCTGCGTAACATCCTGGCCTCTGAGGATGTCATCCTTAGCTACCCCGATTATAAAAAGGCATTTAATCTGACAACAGATGCGTCTGCATACGGCATTGGCGCAGTGCTTTCCCAAGAGGGACTACCCATTACTATAATCTCTAGAATCTTAAAGGTCAGAGAGGTTAACTACTCTACCAATGAAAGGGAGGTGTTAGCCATAGTTTTGGCGGTAGAAAAACTGCGCCACTACTTATATGCGGTCAAAGATATAAATATCTACACTGACCACAAACCTCTGACCTTCGCGGTATCAGATGCCAATCCTTGCTTCACTTGCGAGGAGTCATTGCTGGAGGAGCTCGCGGAGTAACTCTGGAGGAAGCACGCGGGAATAGGGAAAACACGAAAAATTGTTATTTTAATTGCCCTTTGCAACGGAACCTTATAGCGTGAACCTATACAGCGAGAGCAATGGGATGAGCTACACTGGTCTTAAAACTCTTTCTTTGATCTGGTTAACTATTTTTTTCTGTTATATCTAATACATTATGTATTTTGCTGTAGCGTTTACTTATTGAAAATTATCCTTTTATAATAAAAGGAAAACGGCTTCTTTAATCTCACAAGCTCATCGGAGCGAATAAGATCACAAACAGACCTTTTACGGTTATTTGCAATGACGTCCGTGTATGCCTCTAACTTGCAGCCCCTTGTTCCGTTTTGCATTAAGAGAGGAGTCTTCTTAAGGGGTTTCTCTGCAAACGGCTCTTAAAAGCGTTGATGAGCCTAGTGAAAACGAACTGTTTTGAAGTAAGCAATTGATCAATAAGATCAATAGGAAATAGGTTTCCATCGTTTTCTATATCTAAAAAGGGCTACGAGTTCTTATTCTTTATGAGACATTCGAAAAGAATACCTCTTCACCTTAGAAATGAGGGTGCTTCTGTAGACTTATCCTTTCTGTAGGAAGAATGGCACTTTGCCTGCATGTGGGATTTGTGCGGGAATGATTTCGTCGGGACCAGCTGATTTGGAAAAAAATTATTTAGTCACTGGTGAATTAGTTTAAAAAAAAATTAATTTTGACTCTTTAATTTTATTTCTTTACTATTATAATATTGTGTCAAACTTTTATTTACTGCTCTTTGGTTCTCTCGGTGTATTTAACTGCTCGTTAAAAATGAGCGCTTGGCTCAAAATTGTATATAAATTTGGTAAGAGCCCTTGGGTAAGCCGTCATATAACTTTTCCTATTCTAAATTGAATCGATCCGATTCATTGGAATTTATGGGTGTATTGAATTTACCTGATTAGTTTATTCTACAATGATATACTCTTTAAGGTTATTTTTATTATAGGGAATATTATTTGTAGATTTGTAGTTATTTGTAGTTGTAGAATTTGTGTATGACTTTGCCGAGGCTTAAATATTAGGAATTTTCTGTATTTGATTATAATTATAAAAATTAAGCACATAAATTTGGTAATTTGGTACTCCCACGCTGCGGTCGGTGGCGAGACAGTTGGGAGAGATCAGTGGGATGACTGGCAGTTGCCGCGGTAGTTACTGGGAAGTTATGTCGGGAGTTTCTAACTTCGTTGATACGGCCATTAAGGCACGGTAACCAATTTCATTAAATGATTTGAATTTAACGGCTAAGCCGGAGTATTGCAATTAATGAGTTCTTTATACATTGAAGCTCAAAGACAAACTGACTTAAAACTAACAAAAATTGGATTTCATAGCGGCTCCGCAAATTTTCTGTGTTTGCCGACTATACAGAAGTATCCGGCCAGACGCTGTGTCAGAAATTTGACCGGAGCGTACTCTTGGACGATCAGTCAGCGTCGCCCGGTTAACTTTGTTGACTTCTCTCCTTTCAGGAATGAGGCCGCCCTCGCCCGACCTTATTGGGCAGGTATGTATCTTTTTTAGCTGGGACGCGGTTCTTCGGGCCTCAGGTCAAGCCGATGCAAATCAAAGCGCGAGCCGGCCACTCCTAGAGCCCTCTTCTGGGCTGTGTCATGATTGACCAATCGAGTTTCGTTGACGATGGCACCTTCTGCAAAGATGACAAGATATATGCCCCTTATATTGACACAGGTGCCATTATCCACACACGCGAGCCGGGCGATCATTTATAATTACAATCCCCTCATCAACGTAGGTAATGGGGTGTAAATCTTTTCGCTCCAGCTTGCAAAATATAGCCCCTGATGTCGAAGAGCAATTTTTACTTTGTGGATGTCACCGTTACATTCAGCAATGACGGTATCTTCCAGTCTGAGTATGGTGTCGTGATGCGACACCGGGAAAACGGTGATCTTTTTGCAGCTTTTTGCTACTCTATAATGGATGCTCATCGAGTCGAGCAGGTCGCCTAGATGGGCGACATCAAAAACCAAGAGTTTCTGCATGTGGGACTGAGGAAACTTAATAATAAAGTGTAAGATGTTATCGGATTGTAAGATTTTAACGGACGATACGGACAAAACATCCCGAATTGCGGTCTCGGTGGGCTCTTCCATACACACACCTTTTAGGTCTGCATGATCTAGGGCTAACTAAATTAACCTTGGCAAGTGCTACCGCCAGTATTAAAGCTCCCTGCAGCTCCATTGCGATCATCATATTTCGAGTTAAAAGTATCTCCAATGTATCAATTCGGCACTTTTTAGCTGACCTCAGAAGTTGGTTAACGGTAGCGGAAATTTTATTAATTTAAATTTGTACTTTATTGATGATATTGACCTGCCTATTGTTTGCATTTATTAATTTGAATTCCCTAAATTTAATTTTTTCAAAGTCTTCCGCGTCCGGCGTTCCTGCCACTATTTTTAACGCGGTCCCTAGGAAGTCTAAGCTTTTTGCTACTCTATAATGGATGCTCATCGAGTCGAGCAGGTCGCCTAGATGGGCGACATCAAAAACCAAGAGTTTCTGCATGTGGGACTGAGGAAACATGTCGGTCATCCCATTAGTTTCTTCTATGACACGCCTATATTCCGAAATATTCGCGGAGTGTTTTACAAACGCGAATTCCTCCTATATTAGAATCCGGCCATCAACGATGGGAATGCATTTGGCTTTAGAATAGTCCGTGACGCGTGCCGATGTTGCGGCCAAATGGAAAATAAGGGATATGGTTGTAAACCTGTAATTTGGCTGTGCTGTAAATTTTGTTGAAATAAGGTAGCCCACCACCAAAGCGTGATTAAAATAATATTGGTAGCGAAAACTTACACCAAGTGGCTAGGAAAAAGGACAATAAAAAATGAAAAATTATCAGGCGAGCGATAATATAGTCATCCTCGGCCTACCTACGGTTGTCTTTGTGGACCACCTTTCCCTTAATGAGAACTATGGTCCCCATGTCCGCTTCAACGGTTTTTTCCTCACATAACGATGAGATTTTTTTTCCTAGGCGTCTGTTGGACTTCACTAGGACTTTTTCGGCAACCTCGGACACTCGATTTGGTCGGTAGGCATTTTCCCGGTTCCTTGTCCTGGGTGTGTTTTTTTTATCCCGTAATTCGTATTGTGGCTCATTCGATTGTGTCTGAACCACGTCGACCGGCCTCTTGTTGATGACCGAATGGATAGATTTGTTATATCTGGTCGTAGCCAGTAGGATCAGCTCTACGGTATTGCTAATGCCTTTATCGATTTTAAGGGATTTGGCAAGCTCTACCAGAGTGCTGTAGATCCACTTGTCGGTTTTAGACACTGTGGAAGGGCGGCGCATTTGAGATGCTAACGCCGAAATGGTTTTCCAGCATGGCCACGATGGAGTGCGAGTTCAACGATGGTGCGTTGTCGCAATATATGACCTTGGCCTTAGAAAAAATGTTCATCATCTGTAGTAGCGCTGGTTTGAGGTCCTTTATACCTAGTTCTACAGGGAACTGGTTGGACGACGGCAAGTTTTAAGATTCGTCGATGCACGTAAGGGAATACTTTTTATCCGTGGAGAAGATGTCTATGTGCAGCATTTCTCCTACCTGAGATGGCATTTCGCCAAGCTCATGTTTGATTGGATGTCTGTCTTATTTAGCCTTGGCGCAAGTTTTGCAAGAAGCGACTATTTCGTTCGCTAGCTTGGTCATTTTCGGTACTCGGAGAGTAATTGCATCACGTTCTCTTGGGCAGATCTGTGAGCTCTATTGTGCTTGACATTGAGAATTTCCCGCCTGTCAGCAATTGCAAAAATGTCCGTTACTCGGTTTTTCCAGTGCCAAAATTTGGTGGCAGGGAATTGCCGAACCAATTTGTCCTGTATCATTGCTAGCGTACGCTATTAGGAACTATTATGTCCGCGAGCTCCTCCAACAATGACTCCTCGCAAGAGAACTCTCTTTATTCCAAAGAGAACGAAGCTGCGTTTTGATGGAATGCGTGCTTCCTCCAGAGTTATTCCGCTAGCTCCTCCAGCAATGACTCCTCGCAAGTGAAGCAAAGATTGGAATCCGATACCGCGTAGGTTAGCGGTTTGTGGTCAGTGTAGATATTTATATCTTTGACCGCATATAAGTAGTGACGCAGTTTTTCTAGCGCCCAAACTATGGCTAACAGCTCCCTTTCGTTGGTAGCGTAGTTAACCTCTCTGTCCTTTAAGGTTCTAGAGATCATAGTAATGGGTAGCCCCTCTTGGGAAAGCACTGCGACAATGCCGTATGCTGACGCATCTGTTGTCAAATTAAATGCCTTTTTATAATCGGGGTACCTGAGAATGACATCCAACGAAGTTAAAAACTCCCGACATAACTTCCCAGTAACTACCTCGGCAACTGCCAGTCATCCCACTGATCTCTCCCAACTGTCTCGCCACCGAAGGGTGGCGATTCCACCGCAAGGGAGTACCAAATTACCAAATTTATATACTTCATTTTTATAATTATAATCAAATACAGAAAATTCCTAATATTTAAGCCACGGCAAAGTCATACACAAATTCTACTACTAAAAATAACTACAAATCTACAAATAATATTCCCTATAATAAAAATAACCTTAAAGAGTATATCATTGTAGAATAAACTAATCAGGTAAATTCAATATACCCATAAATTCCAATGAATCGGATCGATTCAATTTAGAATAGGAAAAGTTATATGACGGCTTACCCAAGGGCTCTTACCAAATTTATATACAATTTTGAGCCAAGCGCTCATTTTTAACGAGCAGTTAAATACACCGAGAGAACCAAAGAGCAGTGAATAAAAGTTTGACACAATATTATAATAGTAAAGAAATAAAAGTAAAGAGTCAAAATTAATTTTTTTTAAACTAATTCACCAGTGACTAAAAAATTTTTTTCCAAATCAGCTGGTCTCGACGAAATCATTCCCGCACAAATCCTACATGCTGGCAAAATGCCATTCTTCCTACAGAAAGGATAAGTCTACAGAAACACCCTCATTTCTAAGGTGAAGAGGTCTTCTTTTCGAATGTCTCAAAAAGAATAAGACCTCGTAGCCCTTTTTAGATATAGAAAACGATTTCTGACGCCTTGGTGTATCTTGGGGTGGATGGAAACCTATTTCCTATTGATCTTATTGATCAATTGCTTATTTCAAAACAGTTCGTTTTCACTAGGCTCATCAACGCTTTTAAGAGCCGTTTTCAGAGAAACCCCTTAAGAAGACTCCTCTCTCAATGCAATACGGAACAAGGGGCTGCAACTTAGAGGCATACACGGACGTCGTTGCAAATAATAATTTCAAATAACCGTCAAAATTAACGGTCCTTTGTGACCTCATTCGCTCCGATGAGCTTGTGAGATTGAAGGGGCCGTTGTCCTGTTATTATGAAAGGACAATCTTCGATAAATAAACGCTACAGCAAAATACATAATGTATTAGGTGTAACAAAAAAATATTCAACCAGACCAAAGAAGGAGTTTTTAGACCAGTGTTTCTCATCCTATTGATTTCGCTGCTCATTTGTGTTTTTGCAAATGCTCATGCACACGGAGTTGTGTGTGACTGTTCACGCTATAAGGTTCCGTTGCAAAGGGCAATTACAATAACAATTTTTCGTTTTTTCCCTATTCTCCTCAATCGTGCTAAACCGAATGCATTTTGTTGTTAGAGTGCCGAAAACTTTCACTGCAAGAAATTCATTGTTGTTGTTTTTGTTTCTGACAAAATGGTCGACCTGAAGCGATAAGTTTCTTCTTCGCAGAAAATTTTTTTTTAAGTAAAAGGCTCTGCATTATTTGTCACATTACAATAATGAGCTATTGTTAAAAATATATTTTTAATTATATTTATATCTTTAAGCCCCTTGTAAATGTTACCATAATTTCATTTTTCAGTACACCCACATGAATGGAAAAAAAAAATTCTCGCTATGTATTGATGATTTTTCGCATTGGTTTGGGACTTTACTCCGTATGCAGAGCTGGGGCATCACTGTTTTAGCCCAATTACAATTTTTTAATTCATCTACAACTCAAATTCGAATACTTAAGTTATTATTTTTACCTGCTATTTATTATTAATTAAAATTTATTAGCACACAATTAACACATATAAACATTGATTATTAGCTTGTAAGAAATAACTTTTAAAAGCCATGGATAAAATCCAGCCATACTGCTTGAAGCTCAAATTTAGAGAAAAAGAACACTCCCTTCCTTAACTCATCCAAATCCAAAGTGGAACAGGATATTCCGAGGGATGCGTGTCAAGTGGGGGACCCTGGGCGACAGGCCGACCAGCTTCAACCAGGCTTGAAGCCCCTTAGGGTGACTACACTCGGAGGTGGGACGCGCCGGTACGAGGGGTACCTTACCTTTTCAAGGGACCACCAAACGGCGTGGGGTGTAAGACCTCGGGGTAAACCTTTATAGTATGCCCTAAGGCAAGCCCTGCAGCATCTTACTCGAAACAGCGCATAGACCCCTTGAGGACAAGAGAATGGCAGCCTTCATATTGATGAGGGTGGACCTATCGGTGGAACCCTCCCCAGACCAAGCCGAAATTATAAGATGGGCAAAGAAAATCTTACCCGACTTTCAACCGACTTTCACAGTTGGGAGGGAGGCTAGAGGCACCCCAGGCTAGAAACAAAAAAACTGGCAGGAGTAGGCACCAAGGCTACCAAGGCAAGGCACACCCCAGGCTAGAAACAAAAAAACTGGCAGGAGCAAAAAGATCGCGCAGAATGCTAAAAGGCTGAGGTCAACCGAATGTGGAGCGCTCCAAGAGGCAATTGGATCGTTCGCTGAGGCTACGAAAGGACGAATACTCATTGGAGTCCTTGATAGGGGATCCAAAGATGATCTGATTTCCGAAGTCTTCTGGCGCAACGTCGTAAATAAGCTACATGGAGGACCTTTTTTTCGGAGGAAGCAGGAGGATTCGGGAGTTTTTTAGGACGAGTCTTTTTAGGAAGCTTGTAGTGTTGAGTTGGAGGACCGCCTTTGGAAATTTAGAGCAGGGGTACCCAAGCTCTGCATACGGCAGAGCAAACTTTTATACCAATGAAAAAATCGCCAATATCGCCATTTGGGTGCACTGAAAATAAAATTATAGTAACATTTACAATGGGCTTAAAAAAATTAGAATAATAAAAAATACATTTTATTATGGCAATTAAAAAAAAGGACCTCAATTTTTTACAATAGCTTTTTCTTATACTACAAAAAATAATGCAGAGCTTCCTAATTAAAAAAAAAAATTTTTGCGAAGAAGAAATAGAATAAATAGAAGAATAAATTTCCTGCAGTGGAAAGTTTTCGGCACTCCAACAACAAACTGCATTCGGATTAGCAAGACTGAGGAGAATAGGGAAAACACGAAAAATTGTTACGACACGGCGGGAAATAAAATTCAAATGAAAATTAAAACTTTAAAAATATTTACTCAAATCCAAACTTCAAAATTATGTTACAAATTTTTGTGACTCAAAGCTAAATAAATCTTAAGTTACTATAGGAAATAATTTTTTGTTTTTCTACACTGAACATTTTCAACATTCCTATGGTTCGTGCCCCTTCAAAGTAAAGATGTTATGGGTGGATTGGCCGACCAGGGGATGGCCAAATAAATATCCAGCAGTGTGGATCGCTCGGTGGTGGAGACTTTCGGTGGTGGAGACTTCTGGCGGGAAGAGTGGGTTAAGCTAAGCGGATTCCGATTCCACACCTGACGACTCACTATTTTGATCTTTAATTCTTACCCGTAGTGGTAAACTAAGCCCCACGAAAGCCAAACAATTAACAGCCAAAGTACCGCCTCAGCAATACCCTCGGCGGCTCCCCACCAAGACTCCCACCGCAGCCAAATAATTAGTAACCAAATACTTTGTTGGCAATAAAACACAAACATCTAGCAACCAAACCTAAACGTCGGAGCCACTTCAAATTTAAATCCGCTCCAATCTCAAATCCATTCCACTAGTTCAACATAAGTGCATGTAAGTTATCCAACCCCTAAATACAGGCCACATATGGCTTTTATAAACAATATTTTCAATCTCTGCATTTGCCTTTGGCTTGATCTTTGGCTCAATTATCCAACCCATAAATCCAGGCCACTTATGGCTTTCCACTTATGAATTTTATAAACAATATTTTCAAACTCTCCATTTGCCTTCGGCTTTGTCTTTGGCTCTGAGGCGCGATCTCGGTTCCCCATAAACAAATCAAAATCAAAAGTAAACATCAGCTTCCCTCCGAAGCCCAATCAATTACGCCTTTTGCGTTTCAAGTACCCACCAAA